CATGGCCGGGGACATCCCCCCCATGGGGCTGGGGGCGGAGCCGAAGAACATTCCGGTGGCTGCGGAGAGAGGGGGCGGGGTCAGGGGCACCCCAAAACCGGGGGGACACCAAAACCTGGGGGGACACCGAAGTCTGGGGGGACACCAACAACTGGGGGGACAACAACATCTGGGGGATACCAAAATTTGGGGGACACCAAGATCTCGGGGACACCAAACATCTGAGGGACATCAACATCTGGGGGGGGGACACCAACATCTGGGGGATGTCCCCTGTTGCCATGGGACACCCAGAACCGGACAACAACCTCAGAGGTCTTGGTGTCACCAACCTTGGGGTGTCCCCAGTGCCCCCCTGTAGGATCTGAATGTTCCAGTCCTGGTGACCCCAAAATCTGGGGCTGTCCCCTGTTGCCATGGGACACCCAGAACCGGACAACAACCACGATGACCTCCAAGGTCTTGGTGTCACCACCCTTGGGGTGTCCCCAGCTCCTCCTGGAGGAACCCGGCCACCATCCCAAGGGGTGTCCCCGTTTTCCCAAGGTTTTTCCAAGGTTTTTCCCAGGGTTTTCCCAGAGTTTTCCCAGGTTTTTTCCCAGATTTTCCCCAGGGTTTCCCCAGGTTTTTCCCAGGGTTTTTCCAGGTGTTGTCCCAGGATTTTCCCAGGGTTTTCCAGGCTTTTCCCAAGGTTTTCCCAGAATTTTCCCAGGTTTTTCCCAGGTTTTCCCAGAGTTTTCCCAGGTTTTTCCCAGGCTTTTTCCCAGGCTTTTTCCCAGGGGTTTTCCCCAGGATTTTCCCAGGGACTTTCCCAGGGTTCTCCCGGGTTTTCCCCGGGGTTTTCCCAGGGTTTTCCCAGGATTTTTCCCAGGATTTTCCCAGGTTTTCCCCAGGGTTTTCCCAGGGTTTTCCCAAGGTTTTTCCCAGGGGTTTTCCAGGGTTTTCTCAGGGTTCTTCCCAGACTTTTTCCCAGAATTTTCCCAGGGTTTTTCCCAGGTTTTCCCAGGCTTTTTCCCAGGGGTTTTCCCCAGGATTTTCCCAGGATTTTTTCCCAGGGATTTTCCCAGGGTTCTTCCAGGTTTTCCCAGGGTTTTCCCAGGGTTTTCCCAGGGTTTTCCCAGACTTTTCCCAGAGTTTTCCCAGGGTTTTTCCCAGGATTTTCCCCATTATTTTTCCCAGGGATTTTCCCAGGGTTCTTCCAGGTTTTCCCCAGGGTTTTCCCAGGATTTTTCCCAGGATTTTCCCAGGTTTTCCCCAGAATCTTCCCAGGGTTTCCCCAGGGTTTTCCCAAGGTTTTTCCCAGGGGTTTTCCAGAGTTTTCTCAGGGTTCTTCCCAGACTTTTTCCCAGGGTTTTTCCCAGAATTTTCCCAGGTTTTTCCCAGATTTTTCCCAGGGTTTTTCCCAGAATTTTCCCAGGGTTTTTCCCAGATTTTTCCCAGGGTTTTTCCCAGAATTTTCCCAGGTTTTCCCAGGGTTTTCCGGACTCACGGCCGCCGACGCCGAGGCCGGGCAGGGCGCTGGGGATCTCCATGCCGTGCTTGCACTTCTCGGCGTCCAGCAGGAGATCGAAGCAGCCGGTGCCGGCCGGGGCCAGCTGGCCCAGCATGATGTTCTCGGACACGCCCTTCATGGGGTCGCTCTCGCCGTGCGCGGCTGCCTCCATCAGGACATCCACCTGAGGTGGGGGCACCCCAAAATCAGCCTTGAACCCCTGAATCTGATTCAGGTCTGAAGTGTCCTCCTTGAACCCCAAATCCCATTTCCAACCCCAAAATCCCTTCATGGGGTCGCTCTCGCCGTGCGCGGCCGCCTCCATCAGGACATCGACCTGAGGTGGGGACACCCCAAAATCAGCCTTGGACCCCAAAATCTGATTCAGGTCCTAAGTGTCCTCCTTGAACCCAAAATCCCATGAAATGTCCCCAAAATCCCCCATTTCCAGCCCCAAAATGGGGTCACTCTCGCCGTGGCTAGGTGCCTCCATCAGGAGATCGACCTGAGATGGAGGCACCCCAAAATCAGCCTCAGACCCCTAAATCTGATTCAGGTCTTAAGTGTCCTCCTTGAACCCCAAATCCCATGAAATGTCCCCAAAATCCCCCATTTCCAGCTCCAAAATCCCTTCATGGGGTCACTCTCGCTGTGGGAAGGTGTCTCCATCAGGAGATCGACCTGAAGGTGGGGACACCCCAAAATCAGCCTCAGACCCCTAAATCCTTCCAAACCATCGGTGTCCTTCAAAACAGCCCCAAATCCTGTAAAACATCTCCAGAATTCCCATTCCCATCCCTAAAACCCCAATCCCACCCCATCCCCTCAAAGGAACACTCCGTGAGTGGCCCGGTGTCCTGGCGGTTGACGCCGTGCCGGGTGATGGCCATCAGGTGTCCCCGCGAGGTCATGGTGTCGCACAGCAGCGCCAGGTGCCGGTAGTTGACGTAGGAACCGTCGAAGGAGATGACGTGGTACAGCTCCCGCTCCAGCGCCTTCCGCACCGCCTCGATCCCCAGAACCTGCTCCCGGTGGGGTTGGGGGTGGATGAGGGGTGGGAACAGCCAGAATCCCAAAATCCAGGGTTGGGAACAACCAAAACCCCAAAATCCAGGGGGTGGGAACAGCCAGAATCCCAAAATCCAGGGGTGGGAACACCCAAAATCCAGGGGTTGGGAACACCCAAAATCCCAAAATCCAGGGTTGGGAACACCCAAAACCCCAAAATCCAGGGGGTGGGAACAGCCAAAATCCAGGGGTTGGGAACAGCCAAAATCCAGGGTTGGGAACACCCAAAACCCCAAAATCCAGGGGGTGGGAACACCCAAAATCCAGGGGGTGGGAACACCCAAAATCCAGGGCTTTGGGGGGTCCCATCAGCCTGGGGACCCAGATGTTCCTCACGGTGAAGATCACCACCACCAGGACCCAGATGTTCCTCAAACCCCAGCCCAGGTGTGTCCCCAGCCCAGGTGACTCTGGGTGAAGATCTCCACCATCAGGACCCAGGTGTTCCTCAAACCCCACTCCAGGTGTGTCCCCAGGTGTCTCCAGCCCAGGTGTGTCCCCAGGTGTCCCCAGGTGTCCCCAGCCCAGGTGACTCTGGGTGA